ATGTTACTAGGAAGTCTGTGGGATCATTTATATCTATTTAGCAATGCCTCTGTTAATCTACTTCCAAGCACAATTCAAAGTCCCAGTGATCCAACTTTAAAGCCCTACATGACTTGGGGCCAGGATACCTGTGCCAACCAACCTATTCGGTAGGTAGTGAGAACAGACCGGCCCTTCTCAGTGATCACACCATTATTGTGGACTGATACTCTAGAATGGAAGTATCTCAGACTCTCTTTTTCTGGTTAGGACTTGTATTATTCCAAACTCGCTTTCGCTTGGTCTTTGCCTCCTACCTTCACTGGTTTTTTTTAAAAAAAACTTTCTTTTTTAAAAAGAAAGTTCAATGGTTAAACGGCTGTACTGCAGCCAAAACTGTGCTCACAACCTGGTGTTCAATCCCAGGTAGCCGGCTCACGGTTGACTCAGCCTTCCATCCTTTTGAGGTCGGTGAAATGAGTACCCAGCATACCGGGCAGGGGAAAATGTGTATCCTGCATAATTAACTTGCAAACCACCCATAGAGTTTTTTAAGCACTATGGGGCGATATATAAACAGCATGCTTTGCTCTGCTCATGTAAGAAGCACCACAGTACAATTAATAAATATACAGATAATTCTTGCCAAATAACAGCAGCATCAACAGGATTTGAGGCAGCTAGTATAAAATCTTCCACAGCATATCTTTAGGGGGTACAGTGTACGCTGACATAGGTTTGAATCTGCAGTTCAAAATTTGTCAGTACAAAAGCTCCTATAAAAATATGATATTCTGAAACACTGGAAGCTAGAGTATTGTATAATGAACTGGAAGGTCAGCCTACAAAGACTGTATTATGGATCGGGGCTGGTACGTAGGGGTTCTTAGCTTTCACTGAATTAAGATTGGTTGATTATGTACAGATAGTACTGATACGATCCGTTTCTCAAAAGGTATGTAGAAACTACTATTCCAGGACTCCTTAAGATTTGGTTTTACTGGTCTTTGGCCATAATAAAGTATTCATTCATTCTTAAAAAAGCAGAGGGGCAAAGTTTGCAAAATGCTGCTTTCGGTAACTTCACCAAAATTGTGTATCTGAATTAGACCATTATATATCAACTTGCAGCAATTGCTTCAGACAGTTTCTAAACCAGCCTTTTCAATTTGCTGGCAGGAGAAGTGGAGCTGTGTCAGAGCAGGAGAAGAGACTGTAAAAAAAATCTTTTCTTACTAACATCAAAGAATTTATGATAGGGGTGTGTATCCCGCCAAAGTTAGCTTTAGTAACCACATTGCTGCATCCCTCACTAGGGAAAATTGCACTGATGCAGTGGAAAAGCACAACCATCCTTTGATATCTGAATCAATAGATGATCAGCCTACAAAGACTGCACTGTGGATCAAGTCTGGTACACAGAGATTCTGAATTCAGCAAGATGATTAAAACAGGAAAAATCCTTCTTTTTTGGTGAAAAGGAGTGTCTAGCTTTAATTGCATTCATGTTAAAGTCTGTTGTTGTTGTTGTTGTTGTTATGATGATGATGATGATGATGATGATGATGATGATGATGATGATGATGATGATGATGATGATGATGATGATGATGATGATGATGATGATGATGATGATTAAGGTTACTGTTCCTCTCCTACTTCACTTTAAGCCTGCTAGGTTAATATACTTGAAACTCATCAGCTTTTTCAAGATGTTGTCTTCACAGAAACTCTATGGCTCTCCTTTTCAAGTGTTACAACCAGCAGATTTTTAAAAGCGCTCTATCAGCATAAGAAGGTGCTGCAAATCAGATGTGTCAAATGAATTTGAAATCCAGCTGATAAGACTGGTGACTGAAAGTCTTTTAAAAGAAAATTGAAACTACAGATTTCTTTACGAAATAATTAAAGATGGGTCTATGAAGCTACATTCTTCCATTTGCATTTCCCAATCAATACATGGGAGCACTTAGTTGCGACCAGAAAGGAACAGAGAGAACACCTATTATGCTGCAAACAGTCCACCTGCCTACCTGCCAGAAATATTTGGTACATATATGTACACAGTGATGGCAAACTGCTTCTTGCTCATCTAATATAACCATTGAGAAGGTTCAACTATATTAAAAAAAATCCAAATGTTATATCTCCAACAATTTTGGGTTTATATAAACCCATAGTTTATTGCTCTCGTTAAGTGGAAGAGATGGGAGGCATTCTGAAACAAAACAAAACACGCCATACTTGGCTATCTTCCAGTTCTTGCCATGCCAAGATTTCTCACTGAATCCTCCCTCTCCATCAATGAGATCTTTCGGCTTCTCACAAAAACAAGACTCTAGTCTCATTTTCCATTTCCCCCCCTTCTTTTTCCATGTTTGTCCACTTGAGCAAGAAGTAGCCAAATTCTGTGCAGTTCAATGTCCTTTCCATGGAAGATAGCAGAGTAAAGTATGAATGGTAACAATGCTACATAAATTGGAGCTTCTTTTGGGGGAGGGGGAAATGAACAATAATAGTTCTTGAAGGTGGGGGAGAAGAATCTTGAACAGAGCATTCTCTCTGTGGCGGGGGAAAGGTAGTTTTTTTCCCCTTTGGTTTTTCATTGACAATGAAATGTTGTGAAATTCACATCCCTATTAGATAACATACAAAACACACTGGACTCAATTCTGATGATTTGCTTTTCTTAATGAGTCCTCTTTAGTCTTTGCAGGCATCTCTTTCCATGGACAAGAATAGATAACATTTAAGTAAGTAATTATTTTGAATCTGAAAAATGTAGTAAAAAATAAATACAAAGATGGAAGTCATTACATTCCTGGATCTCAGGGAAGTTTGGAATTCCTGCTTTTTGACAATATACATGTCAAAGAAACCTGCCCCTTCACTAGCCACCTGATTCTAATGCTTAGACAGGCAATAGCCTTGTCACAGGCTGAATTCTAGAAGACATGTAGAGAGAAAAATAAGCTGCTGTATACTGCCAGTATCATGACCATTTCATTCTGCACTATGCTAGCCTCTCAGATGACCCAGTTTTCAACTCAATTCAGAACAGGAGGTGTCTATGAAAAGTTACAATCAGGATAGAAAAGAGCATCAGCACACATCTGGACTGCCATCCTCTCCCTTATGCATCTGCATTTGGCGTTTTACAGACACTCACCAAATGGAGTAATAATACTTATGACATTTGGCTCATCTTAATGTACACAAGTCCCGTATGCTTATAGAAGGGGGGGCAATGCTACTGTTAAATCAGTTCACTGATTTAGAGCACAAAAGAGCATTAATTATTATTGAATCAAGCCAGATGTTTATGCTAAGCTGATAATTTCAATGAATGTCATATTAAATCTCTGCAGGTCAAATTGAAATACTTTCTCAGTCACCTCCAAACATGCAGAGGTTAGCTGCCTTTCAAATGCTCAAAAATGAATATTTCTAAATGAACTCTACCTGCCTTCAAAATATACTGACCTAACACTTTATCAGTGCAACAGATCACAACAATGATATGGCGTAAATTCTTCAAGGTACAGTAAAAATAAAATGAACATTTGAAAAGGCCACCAATACTATTATCATTACTGTAACAAAGCCTGTGTCTCCTATATCAATTGAAAGAGGCATTTGTATTCACTCACTAATAATATCTCTATTTAAGAGTTTTGTATTTTTTTAAAAATAAAAATCCCAATACAAAATGCTAACTCCTCTTATGAAGACAAATAGGAAGGTACAACTTCATTGTTGAAAACAATTTTCCTCCTATCAGTCTGAGAATCCGCGCATCAATATTGTGGATGAACTGTTAATTACAAAATCAATTAAAAAATTATTTCTAAAAAACAGTCACGCGTCCTGGCTCTCAGGGGGGCAATTTGGGCAGAAGGCCTCATCTCACTAGGACCTCACCAAATCACAAGTCGTCATCCACAAGTAAGCAAAAGCAATCTGGTTTTTCATTTTTCAGCGCGGCTGAGCCCAGCCTGAGATTGATCGTCACATATGGCCCCAGAAAACAAACTGTCAATACCTTGAATGCTGCAGAATTTGAACAAATAGCCGTCCGCCCATTCAAGCCACTCATTGCATCCCATTTAACAGATTTTATTGACAGTTTCCTTCTTGTAATTAAAGGGAAAACTACTGGCCAGCAACCAAGATAAAGTTCAAAGATAGGGTCAAAACAAAAGCAGATGGAGGGGCACGGTGTGACTGTCAACGGTACATAGCATCAGAGCATGTTATTGACACACAGGTATCTAATGATCGGCACGTCATTAAAGAGGGATCTATCATGAACTTTATGCAAATGCTAAAAGGGACTTAAGACCACAATAAAGCATTAGGGAGGCACAAAAGAAAAAACAACAAAGAACAAACGATTTTTTACTTATCAGACATTGGCTCACTGCTTCAGCACTTTTAAGTTCAAATGCAGAGAAGAATCCTTTCTAGATTTCTTAACCCCTTCTGAACAAGGCATATCTGTCAGCTATAGAGCTATTATTAAAAAAATTCAAATTTGCACGGGCAGGAAGTATTCCTGTAAGCTTAAACAGTGATCTGCTCCCTTTCCTTATAAAACCTAAGTTCACCTTACCTATTGAGTTCACTGCGTTTAGTAGCTGGATTGAAGAGATCTTATATTACATTTAGTCATCCTTTCTACTGGGTTTTAGTGAACTGATTAGACTTATCTGGATTATGAAGGGGATTTAAGCAGAACAACATTTATGTTTATTAAAAACTATCTTTGTTTTTTAATACCTTGCAAATTTTCAGGCTTCTTTTAGCCAAATTAGAAACTCTGTGCAACAAACATAACAAATGCTTATAATCACAGATCTTTCCTTAATTTGTGCTACCTTGTTTCTAGCCATTTAGCATGGTCCCTGCAGTCATATGATTTAGAATTACTTATTCCTATCGTCATGTTTAGAAATCGTCATGCAGAAGGTATTAGAGAAAGGGGGAGGGAATGACATGAGCCATCATGCCAATCTGCCAACCTGAATTAGCAAGCGCGATAGCTTTGAGGGTGACAAATTCTTCTTTCTCCAGCTTCATGCTCTTGTATTTTTTTACCAGTTGTAGGATGGCATTGTTGAGGTCAAGAAGGCCTGCTAATTTAGACTGATCTTCATCCATGATATAGTCTTCAGCATAGACAAGCTCATCCTCAAAGGAAAGTGATCGGTATACAACACCCAGAATCAAAATCTCCATCCAAGCGCTCTGCAGAAGGCTCATCTGGTCAGCAAGCGATAAAGTGGAAAATCCTAAAGCAGGAAGGAAAGTACACAAAACATAATTAAAATGGTCCTGGGCCATCGTAATTCTGCATTGCAACTATACCTTATGTTACTGTTACATAAGTGATAGATCTGTATCTATGGATTCCACCCTCCCTGATCTCTAAGATCAACATAAAATAATTACAGTAAAGGTTTCCTCAAGTAAACCTGAGTTAGCATGCTTTTTTTTGTCTCAAAGTTATTTTAAATTTTTGGAGACCATTGTTAGCAACATAAATCTGCTGTATTTTATCTTCTCAGCGTTAGACGAGGCATCTTTTAAAATATACACTAAACACCTATTACGTTTAGGCTTTGTTCTGATAACATCTACTCTGGAAATTACCAATATAATTTGGATCAAACAGCTTTCTGGGAATTCTGACAATAATGGTTATGGCTGGTATAAAAGAATACTGCAAGCAATAATCCTACATGCATTCACCTGAGAGTAAGCCCCACTGAATTCGATTATTCCTTAGTCAATGCATATAGCGACATTGTGAGCATGTCAGAGTTACCTTAAAAGGAAGCCATGGGGTGGAGAGGGAATTTAAGAGGAGAAAGGTTGATGCCTTAATAGAATTAAGGTGGCGATCACAAGAACCAAAGTGCTTTGTGACTTTCAACCTCATCAAGGCCTACCCTCTCCAGAAAAGACATGAATTAATTGTGAAATGGCTTCTGCCTCTTCTACAGTGCTGAAATAACAGGATAGCATAGCAAAGTGCCAAGTGAATAGTAACTACACGAAACACCATTTTGGGAAGAAAGAAAAAACTATAATAATGTATCTTAATGAATTTGAGTTTTGCTTTTGTTTTGTTCCTTATCTCTCTTCCTCTCCTTCCTAATAAGATCACTAAGGGCAAGCATTTTTATTGTCATACCTTTTCAGGCTCCCTGTTTACAGTAGCTGTTAATTTATTATCTCCAACTGCTAATATTCCCCATCACATAAGGTGCCAGTGAAGAAGCGATTTCCTGGCCTCTTGGTAAAATGCAGTGGCTTGCCAGTTGGCACCAGCAACCACCAAGTACTTAATAAAATCATCAAAGGGGATTAGTCAAGCTTTTCTTAAGGGGGTCTTAAGACATGTCTAAAGCTTTCAGTTAGTTGTTTATGGAGCTGCTTACATGTGCTTTGACAAGGATCCTGCAGAAAGAACAGTCTGTGTTGCTCATTTATCTTTAAACACATTGCCCTCTTCCTTCAAAGACCCTTTCCTTGTAACAGAATAAGCATATATAATATGACACAAAACAAAAGGCAAAAAAGAAGCCATAGGCATTAATTTAGACTCAGACCATTGCACTGTTAAAAATAAAAATATGACAGAGAATCATTTCGAGTCATGAGGCATAGATTAAATATGAAATAAGTTAATGCCACCTCTTTATTTCTCGCCAATATTTTTTTCATTCTCTCTTTTTTTTTACACTGTGTTTGTGCCGTGTGAGAAAACAGCATTTGTTATCCTTCCAGATCAAAATCAACAACACTTTTGCACAAGTCAAGAACACATATGTGAGAGATGACAATGAATAATGCTGCTCTTGTTGAGGAAATGGGAGGAAATGAAACAGAAATAATAATTTGAAAGGGTCTAAAAAGGAATGCATATTTTCAATTAGCTCCAGCCTCTCTGTCCTTTTCCTCTCTCTCAAGAATCACTTTTTCTGCTACAGCAGATGGACAGAGAATGTAGCCTGAAGCACTGTCCTGTGACAGCCCCATTCTCCCTCCCAGACACTGCTGTTAGTAAATAGATTTACACATTCTCCAATCTCCACACATCTTTCTGCCGAATAATTAAAAGCAGGATGATTAGTTTATTGAGTGGAAGGAGGAACTTTTTTATTGAGGTCCGTCCATGATTTTTATCAGGGCCAGCACTTTTACGGTTGTCATGAGGGTGCAGGCATCCAATTTTTCTTATCTGCCTGATTAATACAAACGCTGTTTCAGGACGCATTAATTAACAGATACAAATCTACGTTCTCATGGAAGGATCAATACAGAGAAGAAAAGAGGCATCAATGTGAATTTAGTGCTGATGATGGAGAAGGCACTCTATTGACATTTACGTGCACAGAAACTTTAAAGTTGCAGTAGAGCCCCTTTGTCCCTACGATTTACAAAGTAACAATTTTTTTAACTATAACAATGTTTCGCGTACTTCTGAGGCATTTAATTAAGCAAAAGGCAATAAAATCCCTTTTGATCACAAAAGAAGTTTTAATTTCAATTGCTTTCCTTTCTATTCTCTCTCCCCAGGAAAACTCCCAGTGTTCCTGATTTTTATTTATGTTCTAACTTCTTGGCGTTGTTTTCTTTTTTTTAATACATTAAATAACAATGTCCTTTGCTAGTACAATTAGAGGAATAGAGAAAGGAAAGGAACCTCAAAAACCAGGGAAGTGTATGAAAATGTGTTTGTAAGGAATGCTTCCTCGGATTTTACAAGGGTGCATTTTTTTTTAATTTTTAGAGTGTTCTTCATCATAATTTGATTCTATGTATTTTCATAGGGCTCCTCTAATTTTTTGGCAAGAAAAATGGTGCCCCTGATTATGAAGCAGGTGAACTGAATTCCAGATTTACCTTGCCTCTTGGTAGATGAGGAAAGACTGAACTACCTTTTTCCTTTAGAAAAACTCAGTTTTGAAAACTCTCAGGAAACTGAGTTTCACAGTTCACATTCTCTCCACAAAATAAAGTGCAAAATCTATAATTGTGGGATTTCATCAGAAAATTTGATTATTTTGGAGGAGATTCCATGAGTACAATTATGCTTTCTTTTGTTGCTTGACATCTAGCATAAGCCTTTCGTGAAAATGTTGAGGAATGGTGCATGATTAAGCAGTGGAACCGAGAAGACAAAAGCTTTTGTAACAGTGTGTTAAAAACATTGAAACCAAAGTTAAAGTAATTCATCTGAATTTTGCAAAATCATAAAATCTCACTAACCAAAATTATTCAAAGCAATCCAAAGAGCCACATTTAATATCCCTTTTTGACTATGAATGATGGTGTTGACATCATAATTAATTGAAAGTGATCATTTCTACACTTTGTGGAAGAAAACTAAACATTATAATAGCCCTCTGTCATAAAAAGGAGGGGGGGAAGAATATGTATATCTTCAGATTTTCGACAAATGCTTTGCTTTTTTCCTTGATGAAATGAAATCCTCAAAACTGTCTATACATATATTTCCTGCTATCTAGACTACTTAATAATTTCCTACCACTCCTCACTGAGCTGTTTCCCAAAATGTAAAAGATCCTGCCTTGATAATACACTCCAGAACTTGTTCTGTATTACATAGCACCTTAATCCGTAGCATTTGATAGGTCACAGTTTTAAATGCTCGGCAACATTATGGCTTTTAAACATACAATTCAGTGTAACTATGGTGTATTTCCGCACACACCCCTTCTCAACGCAGACCAATTCCACTCAGGCTGGTGACAACTTTGATCTCTCTCTGTCTTCCTCCACATGTCAGTGCCATTTAATGTATCCCAGGCATTTTGCTAGCAGAATGATTCTGTACCTTGACCTGCAGTTAAATAGCATGTTTATCTGCGAGACAGTGTGCTCCAAATAAACCAGATGACAGTTTGGAATAACGTCATTTGGAAGGATTGAAAAGCTTCTCAAGAGTCAGGTACCCCAGAGGTAATAGGCTTGAAGGAAGCATGCTCTGTGCCAACCCTCCTGCCATCTTCTACTTGAAGCTCATGTACTTGACAATGATGCCATAGGCACTTGTGAAGACTTCCTCCCCTTAATCTCTCTCTCCCTCCCCACTCTTTCTTGCTTTTTCTGGTGGGGAGGGGATGCTGGCAAACTGATGCACTTTGCAGTCAACTTACAAAAAAGGCTAAGCATTTGAAAGTGTGAAGGGCAAAAAATATCTGACGGCTAGTCTTCAAAAATACACTTTCATTTCACAAAGAATAAATGTTTGTTTCCCAAGTCCAGTGTTGACAGAAATAGGCTGCAGTGCAGGCATAAGAAGTTAACCCCTGCTAGGCATTGCCTTCTGTACCATTTTCATGTTGCTGAATGCAAGGACTGTAAATCTATGCAGCTTCTTGTAAATAGACATAAACAATGGCATTGATTTGCTGGTTACATTCCTCCCCCCCCCCCCCCAAATTTTCCTTCCTACACAGAGTACAGCTTCTGGTTCACTAGAGAGACTTTTCAACATGCTATTACTTATATTATAGATATAACTATATCTTAATGGCTACTTATATCACTAATGAACTGTGCAGTCCAACAATTGCTTGCTTTTCCTACCTCCCACCCCTTTCACATGTCAATAAAACTAGGAGAAAATGAAGAATACACAGGTAACAAAGCCTTGGCATTTTCCTACCAATAAACGCCTCTAATATATATTTTTCTAGTGGACCACATTTCTTTGCTGCAGTCTGTGCATGCATGTAATCATCTTTAAAAACAGACATTTTAGACTACTTCCTTTCACTTCCATTTGTGCCTCCTATGGATCACCTCCCCATGATATGCAGCCTCAATTATTCTCATTCCCAAGTATTTGTGTTTTTTTAAAATTGTTTATGAAAATTCAGAGATACTAGGCATGCATCTGTGGTTTATCTGCAATGTCCTTAGCATTCCTTCTTTTTTGGTTTTGTTCTTTTTTCATACTGTTACAAAATAGCTGGCAAAATCTGAAGGAAGTGGAAAGGAATGCCAGTGATAGCGTTCCTTTACATTGTATGACTCCCTCCCATCAGGGACAGTATAAGCAAGGCTACATATTGACCCATTTCTCTATTTCTTTGAATCTTTTTATTACCGTTGGGCATAAAGCACGCTACTTGTATCTAGAACATATTGGTCAAAACTCAAACCCGCAAGGTGTGTACAAACACTTGCAACCCTTAGAAACACTGTTCTCATGTTACATGAAATATTCCTTTTGTGCACAGGTTTGTATTGTGAG